TCTTTATCTAAATGCATATGAAAGAAAAAGACACTTATAGTAAATAATAATATTAATATTTTTTATTGCCAACAAAAATCGCAGAAGCAACGTCACAAAAGGCTGATCCAAGTAGAAAGTAGCGCAACTGTACTTGCGCGCGCTAACTCGTTACACATTATGACGTCATCGAGCGTTTCTTGCTTTTAAACGAATATTGATATTTAATCTCCGTTTTTCTCATAGAAAGAATTTTCTGATTTTCGTAAAATTTTGTAAATTTACTTAAGAAACGATGCTTAATAATTTGATGATTGTTAAACGGGATTTTTTTATTTTGTGAACATCCCTATTGTATCAACTGTTAATCCAAGTCCAGTTGGATAGGTCCTAACCAATGACATGGCTGCCAACTTACTCCATCCAAGTCCACTTCGACTGTGTGAACCTGGCTTCAGGTAGGTAATTTATGTACACAGAAGTGTTCAAGTTTTTATTTATTTTTTTATCAACAGGTAATTTCCCAATTAGAAAAACAGTATAATTTTAGTAATATAAAATACCTAATTTTTAACCTAACCTTAAAACAAATTAAATTAAATTAAAATTAAAACCCTAGAAATCTGATCAACAATTATAATGAGTTACGACACAGACCATTTTAAACAAAATATAAAACATAAGACTGAAACCAAAATAAAATATTAAACAATAAATAACAATTTATTCTTAAAAGTTTCTTCGGTCGACAAAAAAGTCTAGAATATCACAGTGTTCATTGGCAAGTCGAGCGGTACTAGAGTTTTGTTTGTTATTCGATAGGCAACCTTACTTATTTTTCATTTAAATTTTTATTTTTTCTCATTCTTTGAGAATGTAGGTAAGCGTGCAATGTTACTATGGGTTGAAAAACAACATAGGGGAATTCCAGGTGAAGCTGAAACAGCGATTACGACATTGTTGTTTTTTGTGAAGTTTGAAGTTGCAGAGTTAGTTTATCTATCAAATATATGTTTTGGTCTTGAGATGATACAAATTAACATTGAAGTTCTCATTATTACGTTATAATTATAAATGGTTTTCCTCAATTTTGCATTTTTGTCAGCTTGTGGAAAAAAAAAAAATTTTTAGAAAAAAAACTTTTTTTTTTTTTACATCACTAAGTAGGCATAGTGATTTGCCTGGAATCATGAGGGAATGTCAATCAGTCACCGCTTTTAAGGGTGAACTGAAGTGCTTTTCAACAGCTCCTTTCAGTGCATGCAGATCTATTATAGATATGACTCGTTTTTTAATGGTTGAATGTTAATTTGTATATTATTACCTACACCTATGAAAATTCATTTTCAATTGGATTTCAATCATTATGTATATTGTGAACTATTATTGTATTGTGACGAAGTTTACGTGCGCCTCCGCCAGGGTGCGCAGAATTGGATGGCTGATTCTATATTTTACAGTGTTATTCGGGAAAAAGGGCTATCGCGTTTATACTGGATTTTAGAAGAATGGATTACGGATATATAAAGGCCGGTATTACATAGTTAGTAGTTTAGTTTAAGTTTGGCTGTGATATAATTTAGATAGTGGATATTGTAAGAGTTAAGTTGATTAAGTTAATTAGTGAAGTAATTAGTGTCGGAGTGTATAGCCTTACAAGGTACAGATAATGTAAATGAGATTCGAGAAAAATAATATGTTAATTCTAGGAGACAGTAATGTAGTAGGTTTGCACAGATTCTAACCAAAAATATGGGAGACAAATATGAGATTTTTTCTTTTGTGGAACATAATGCGCGCTATTAGATAATATTGTTGAAAATGTGAGTGTTTTAACTAATGATTTCTCCAAGAATGATATAGTAATAATATAGGTGGTTTAAAGAATTGTTTGAATGGTAAAAGAATGACTGAGTGTACTAAAAAGAAATTGAGGGGAGTAAGCTTGAACACGAACGTCATATATTTGTCAGTTTCACTATGGAATAATAGAGAGGTACTCAATAAATTTATCACTGAGTTTACCAAAACTATATATTATGATGTACAATTAAGTAAGACGAGTATGTTTATGTTTTTTAATGTTAATTTTCTTCTTGACACTTGATTGTTTTAATTATCACAGAAATGGTATGCATATTCGACATCCTACAAAACTTAAAATATTGGACTATCTAAAGGATTTTATTTGAAAAAAAAATTGTCACGGAGAACAAAAGGATGTTACGATAGCGCCTTCCAATATTTCAAATGAAAATCATTTTTTAGGGATGTAAAAAACTCCCGTTTGGCTTGTAAATTCTCAAAGCCTGCTTGCTAAATTTGAAGAAATATCAAGGACTATTTTTAGTTCGAAACCGTTAGCAGTTTGTTTGACAGAAACTAGAATAATAGCTGATATTAGGAATAACGAGATATTTATTAGTGGTTACCAAATTGTTAGATGTAATAGGCACAGCAGACACACAGGAGGTGTTTTATTCTGTCAGAAATGATATCCAGATTTTTAAAAAGGAGGTGCTTGTGCTAGGTAAAAATTATTGGCTGTCACATATTGACATATCAATCCAAAAAAAGTACTATACACTTGTAGGTATTTATTATTCTCCAAGTAGTAGTGACACAGAATTCTTAGATAGTTTCAATAGCTGGTTTCTCCAAATTTCTAACTTCTCTAGGCATACAAACATTATGGGCGATTTTAATATTAGCTGGCTGCAAGCAAATACATGTAAAGTGAGATAAGAAAAAACTATGGCTGATTTAAGATTTATTCAGACAGTTGACAATATCACTCACCCGACGGACTCGGGAGGTAGTATAATTGATTTGGTGTTCTGTAACTTTGAGAGAATTGATGGTAGGGTTGATGTTATTGAAACACCGATGATAACAGATCAATGTATAGTCAAAATTGGTCTACATATGCACCAGAGTAGTGATATATCGAGTGACAGGCAAATTATTTCTTGTGGTAAAATAGACTATGACGGAATGAATCAGAAACTTTTTTTAACAGAGTGGCGGTATTTGGTTGCAGGTGTGGACGACAAATACGACGCATTTTTTTCGACCATATTAAGTGTTCTAAATCAAGTTGCACCTAGAAAAAATATAGTAATCAAAGCTAGATATAAAGAGTGGTGGAATGACAGGGTAAGTGAGGCGATAAATCAAAGGGACCAAGCCTATAAATATTACAAACAAAATAAATCCGATGATAATAAGACAATTTACAAGCAACATAGAAATAGAGCTGTACAAGTTACTCGCGAGGAGAAGAAGAAATATTTTGAAAATGAGATAGACGGTTGCAAAAATAATACAAAAAGAATGTGGGAAACATTGAAACCTTTGTTATCAGAGAAAAAAGATAACAATTTAACAGAACTAGAAATAAACAATGAAATTATATCTGACCCACAACTAAGTTTTATGTCAGTAGTATCGACGAAATAATATCAGAGATTGATACAACCAAAATAGCAACACCTTTAAATCTACCAACACATTTTGTCATGATATCTTCTGTAGAATTAGAGAAAGTTGTTCTTGAATTACCCAATAAAAGTAGCCCTGATGAATTTTCAGCAGAACTTATGAAAACATATATAAAAGTATCGAAAACCCTCTCTTAAATTTAGTTAACTATTCACTAGAAACTGGTACTGTACCGACAGCATTAAAAATTTCGACAGTTATACCTATACCAAGTCAATGACGTTTCAACAGCAAGTGATTTAAGACCAATCAACATGTTAGCAATAGTAGAAAAAATTATCGAAAAGATTGTTTATGAGCAATTGGTTGACTATATCTCAAAAAATAATATTTTGTACATAAACCAGTCGGGTTTTAGAAAGGCACATTGTTGCGAAACTGCTGTTCAGAATGTTTTGCAAGAATGGAAGAATGAGCAAAATAAAAATCTAATGATTGGAACAGTATTTTTAGACTTTCAGCGTGCCTTTGAGATGATTGATAGGGATAGGTCGTTGAACAAGTTAGAAAAGTACGGTGTTAGCGGCCTAGCTTTGGAATGGCTCTGTAATTACTTACATAATAGAAAGCAAGTTACACGTGTTAATAAAACAACCTCCTTAGAGATTTTAAATAACAATGGTGTTCCACAAAGAAGTACCCTAGGACCACTACTATTCCTGTTATACATTAACGATATTGCTTCTATAGTTAAAAGCTGCAAAATCCATCTGTTTGCTGATGACATCTTACTGTATTTCTGTTCAGATATTCGGATAATTTAAAAACCCTAATTGACACCATCAACACAGAACTACAAAATATACTACTATCGTGCAATGGAAATCTACTTAAATTAAATGCAGCAAAAACTAAATGTATGATGTATGTATAATTTAAGTTACAGTATAGTGATCGCCAATACTGAAATAGAAATTGTTGATAAAATAAAGTATCTTGGACTTATAATTGACAGGAAGTTAACATTTAGGGAACATGTGTCATACAAAGGTGATAACATCTCCAGAAACACCAACTTTTTTGCTAGAATTGCTCAATCTTTAACCAAGTGGTCTCGAAAAGTGGTACATAATGTACTGATTTCGCCTCATCTCACATTTGCGTCGACCATCCTGTTTACGGCAAATAAAAATGAGAAAGGCAGATTGCAGAAATTACAAAACATCAAGGCCATGCGAATAATTTTGTGTGTACCTAGGAACACATCGTATGTGAGTTGTTTTTTTTTTTATTTTTTATTTTTTTGTTTTTATACAAGGTGTATTAATTTTAATATTTCAATTTTTATAGTGTATGTATATATGTATATTGTGCATGTCTGTAAATTTTGTGAATTAGCCGTTTTTGGCTAAATAAAGATCTATTATTATTATAGTAACATGGAATAAATTATTGTTGCGTTAATTGGACTTTGATTTTAAACGGACCCAAGATTTTTGTCACGCACCCCAGAGCCGTAACAGTATTAATAAAGATTTATTATATTGTATTGTATTATTGGAGCAAACGGTAAAACTTGCCTTGTATTGGTCGTCCCTTTTTTGGCCTTTCACTCTTTGTCCAGGATTTTGTGCCTGTAATGGTTCCATTTTCGATTCCAACCCAATTAAATTGAAAATTACATTTCTGCAAATAAACACCTCTTCCTCAGTGAGTGTTTCCTTGACGAATAAAGCTGGCAATGGATCAATATACTATAAAAATAATTTGCATTTATTTAAAACAATTGATTTCAATCAACATACCTGTTTTAAGTTAAAAATCAGTGTTGAGCTGATTGTTAAGGGCCAAAATTTTGTTTGGCGATTTAGGCGTTCCATAATTTTGTTCAAAGGTTTTTCATATGAATTTTTATTGGTAAGAGCCACAAGTGTATTTTGCTTTATTAGCAATCCAAAATCTTGGATTCTATAATCAGTAACTCTACCGCCGCAACCTTCTGATATGGATGGAGGTTCCTCCAAGACTGATCTTGCACTGTGCAAACTATGTATAAAAATCTCCCCTCCATGAGCTGCCAACAAGTGACTGGTAATTTTGCCGCCAGCTTTTCGAGGCATTTCCAACATAACTGAACGACCATTTAGAAGAAAATTTATTAAGCATAGGGATGGTCTGGAATTGACGTCAACAGGTGTGATTCGATTCATGGCGATGCAGTTATGTAACTCGTTGCCTGTTACTCCTCTTGGTGTACACCATTTAAGGGTGACCTATAATTGAAAAATATTAGTATTATTTGTGAAAACCATTTCAACTTTTTAAGCAGATAAAAATAACAAGACTGGCGAGACTAGAAGTGTAAACAAGTGAGCTGGGTGTCAAGTAAGTCCGATTCATTATTAATTTGGTTACCTATTTAGAAACACACGGCATGGAACGCGAGGAGTTTGAAGGGCAATATTCCAATATGTTAGCAAGATGAAATTTAGTTATTGACAAGAGTGAATCTGCGGGAGCTTCTGTTCACAGTATGGCTGTAATTTAATGTTTTAATTTATTCCAAATATGCAAGCCTCATAGGCGCAAAATCGCAGTGCTTATAAAAAAGAATAAATCGATCAAAAAAACAGACACAGATCATGATAATGTGTATAGTTTTGAACAATGAAAATACTCTCCCCCTGCTCGCTCAACTATCATTACTGTAGAAGACTTCTACGTTTCCTCTATTTATAGAGCCCTGATGATGGATTGAATAATAATCTCTTTATTAGCAAAAAATAGCTCAAAAGGTACAAAGGTGAAAAAAGAAAAATACAAAAGAAATCTGTAAACAACAATAGAATAGAATCCGAAACGTCGGCAAGTCAACAAAGGTTTTATTCTCCAATTTCTGACCATAATGTCGGTAGAACAGGATTAGATTTTTTTTTTCGAGGGCTCGAAATCAACGTTTTTTTGGGCGTAGCAACCGCACGAATTTTTTGCCTGCGCCTGCGGCGGAGTTGATTCGTTCCTGGCGCCCCCTTACATGTTTGCTCTGTCCGCCCCCAAAGGCTGGCTATGCCAAGAAAAAGGTTCCCTTGCTAGAATACTGGGTGGAACATTCTGTGGTGGAACTAATGTCAGGGTTTAGGATTTTCAAAGTTTGTAATGCATATGTTTATGAATTGTCCATCAGGTGTGTTTTGTTGTGGGTTCTTCAACTTTGTTTTCAGTGGATTCTCTTTTTCTGAGTGTGTTTATGCATACTTATTATTGTTGATGTGGTGAATAAATTTTTGATAACACCTGTTTTAGGGTATTCAAATTTAACAACCTGTTTGTGTTTATGTTGGTTTTCTGTATTCTTATTAGCAAATATTTCTTATTAGATTACTATCTATGTCTGAAAATGGTATCTACTTGAAAATATGTTGTCTATGTAACGATACCAAATAATGAGGTTGTTCAATATCCTCCGTGAGAATTATCACATAAAAAGGCGATAAGGGTAAACGCATGGTCATAGTAAAATCTTATAGGTTATAGTGTGTTTATTTTAGTGGCATGCAGACGTAATAATCAAAAATTGATGACACATTTTCTTGCCTCGACTGGGATTTGAACCCAGGACCCTCGCATTTCCAGTGCAACGCTCTACCCAACTGAGCTACCAAGACCTGTTTCATTTCTACCTTGTGGATCAAGTCTTTCATCAATTTTCAAGTTGTTAGTTGTGACCATCGGTAACCTTCGGCGGTTACCGTTGTTATTTTGTCAAAAACATGTTGCTTTCACACAAAATGTTAGTGGTTCTGAAATAGTAGGTTATTGTCGGGTTCCTATTTATGCATGAAAATGTATATGTATAGATTTATAAAATCGTCAAAGAGTTGAGTGTATTGAAAACAACAATGGAAGTTACTAATTATTATGACTTTAAGGCTGCAACTAAGTTATATACAGAGTGAGTTACTAAGCGCGCGGTCGTCCATGTCTCCTATACTAACGGAGATCGAAGAAAAAACTAAATACAAAACTTGTAGATAGACATGAGTACTAAATTATTTTCCAGTATACAGGGTGGCCCAACAACTAGTAGTGATATAAAGTTATGCTATTTTAAATGACTTTCCCTGTATATTATGACATGTCTGGATTCTGCGGAAAATTCTAGACATATTTCATGAATAATGTCATATACCTATCTTCAACTGTTTTGGAAATATTGACTGTTGAAAATTGACTTTTTTGCATCTTTGACAGACTGTGAACCCCAAACGGTTAGATTTTCATAAGCTATCATTTGACATTAACTTTGAATTTACCCGAAGATTAATAATTTAGGCGGAATTTTTAATCATGGATTAAATTCAAGATTGGTGTCAAATGAGAGTTTATGAAAAACTAAGATAGGAATGTAAAATCCGTTTTCCTGTAAAATTAATCGTTCAGGTTTTACAGTCTGTCAAAATGCAAAAAAGTCAGTTTTCAATTGTCAATATTTCCGAAACAGTTGAAGATAGGTATATGACATTGTACATGAAATATGTCTAGAATTTTCCGCAAAATCCCGAGATGTCGTAATATACAGGGGGAATCAGTCGAAAAAACTTAACTTTGTGTCACTACTAATTATTGGCCATCCTGTATACTAAAAAATAATTTAGGTAGGAATCTAGTACTCTCCGTTAGTACGGGAGATATGGACCAACGCACGCTTAGTAACTCACCCTGTATAACTAGCTTTCTTGACTTTGTTACTAAAATTGACTCGTATTAGTTTCTTTTGTATATGAAATTATATTCGTGATAACATAACATTCAAAAGAATTTCAAATTTTGAAATATGCATTGTCGCCTTTGTCCGCTCCAAAAGTTCCACTTTTCACTCCTTTCTTGATTCCTGAGTGTAAATAATCTTACTTCATTTACTCCACAATACCTGAACCAGTAGAGTATAAAAGAGTAGGGAGAGTCAAAGAGAGTACAAGGCTGTTTGAGAGAGGTAGGTTGCCTGATAACTTTTATGACGTCATCTGGAGTGCCTCAACATAATTCAAATCTCCATAAGGCATCCCAGATGCGTCATCAAGTTACCCATTACCAGACAACTTATTAACTTTAGGAACCTTGAAAAGAGTACTGGGGTCAGCTTTGGTAACGCAAAATGCATCACCTGTCAAGTGACATTTAAATCTGTCTATGCCTCTTTAATAAACATTTTAAACTATTTATGTAAATAGATCAAAGTTAGGAGCACATACCTACTCATAAAATTTCAATTTTACCTTTGAAAAAAAATGAAACTTTTAAATTAACAAAACAATGAGTAAAAATAAGAAAATAAAAATGTGAATTCTCACCGTTTCATATTCCAACCCTTCTTTCATGGTTCTAATAGCTGCGGAATCCAAAGGGTTCCCTTTCAAAATAGCCGTATGAGCTGTACTGGAGTGGAAAATTTCAACATCATAATTAGCTGAAGAGCTTGCGTTTTGTTCTTCTTTCATTGGAATGCCTGTAACGGTAGTACTAGCCAAATCGTAATGTTCCAAAATCAATGATGCCAATTTATTAGGTATTTGAGGAGCTTTGATTGAATGGACTTCTGTTGTTAACAATGGCGAGAGATTTATAGGTGGATGATTATTCACTGAAGATTCCATATTTATGGGAAAAGTATTAATAATAACCAGATGACAATGGCTTATTCGTAGTAAAGTATCACTGCCAGATACAACTTTATTTTGCTGACTTAATACTGTCAAAAAAATCTCTTCCAATCTCTTCATACTTTCATTATCTCTAGCAGAGGTGATACAAATCACTCTACACCTATTGAGTATTTTACCCCTATCAGTTTTAATTTTTTCAATTTGAAATTCTGTAGGCTCACACATGCTTTCTATAGCAGCCCTCAAACCATGTAATACAGTATAATCTGGAGGGGGGCTTACCGAGGATGGCAAGGGTGGGACTCCAATAAGGGCGCATCCATTCATAATCTAAATTTAATGAAAATTAATTAGGAATAATAATGATTCTGGTGACTTACATGACTTATTGATTGCTGAGACGAGCTCCATGTATTCAGAATATGGGCGACGTTGTCACTTGCAAAGAACCTTATCTAAAAATCATTTAAAATTAATTTTCTTCTTACTGTACCATTTGGTATTTTATTCTAACAGTGGCCTTAGCGTTTGATAGAAGAGAGAATGAGAAATGAAAATTAATATGCCTTTTAACCAATATTATTGTTCCGTCGTTTTTATTGTATTTTGCCTGGTTATAAAAAAATTGATATTCTGTGATATTACAGTTTTTGATATAATCAATTTGGAAGGTTTCACTTAAAACAATGGTATCAATGTAATATAAGGTTCGTTCCAACCCAGCCAAAAACCGTTCAATGTACGGTCACGGTCATGCGCCATAGGTTAAACGCGTTCCAACCGAGAGATGATCGTTTACCGTACAGTTTCGTTGGCGTTCCAACCAAACCTGGGATCGTTCGAGAACTGGTTTTAGCACCGTCATTTCGATCCCGAGTGGAAAGCAAGAACCGCGTGGACTGATCCATGACTGACATGCGTAATTCAATTTTGTCACCTGTTGTTGTTGTTCATGTTGTTGTTAAACAACCAATTTCCAATCTAACTTATAAGACTGTAGCATTTTTATTTTTTCAAGTAAAAAAAAGTACAAAATTTATTATCAGCTATTTGCTAATCCTTGATGTTATCAGCTCGCAAGGATTCAGTTTCAGATTCTTGATAATGAATCAGCGTTGGTGTTCGATTTTCCTTTTTTATATATTATTTTGTAATCCTAATCCTATATTCTTCTATTTTAATTTGCAAACAAACAAATTTAGGGTTAAAGTTATTTGAACTGTCGTCATTACGAAAACGATCATGAAACCGTTCCAACTACCCGTTGTTTCTGTACCAAGATAAAACCGTGCAAGGTCAACGCATGCGCCTGCAATCGATCCTAACAGTTCCGAAACCGTTTCATGACAATACGAAAACGGGGGGTTGGAACGAACCTATAGCTTGTATGTTTCCAGAAATATAATAAGGTTATCAATATTTCTGTTAGAATTCCTAATATTAAAATGCATTACACTCAACACATAGTCATTTGTTACAGTGTGCCCAGTCCCACAATTTCATCTTTTCCAATGTCTTCCAGAATCTCGTCCTCGTCGCGTTACCGTATTACCATTTTTCAAGAATTATAGTCTCTTTTGTTGTTCAATAAATGTAAATGATATTTTAGGGATGGGCATTCATGAGGGCATTCACTATGCAGAGCTGAGTGATTGGTATCATATAGCTTATATTTTTTATTCGCTTCCCGACAGTTCAAAAATTTTCTTATAGTACCTTCACAGGACTCAGATTCATAATTCCCCACACAGTTGGAACATTCTTGTTCCTTGCTGCATTTGGCACTTTTGTGATTGAAACCCTGAAACCTGAAACAAGTATTCATACACAGGTAGACTCTGCCAGTTGATATATATCTTTATGCTCTAGCATTTTGTTTAGAAGTGTTCCTGAACAGTGAACACTCTGCATAAATTGCAGAATTTTTGATGAGAGTGATTCAGGAGAAAGTCGCTCAGACAATTGAATATTTTTCTGAGTCACTTTTCTCAGTGAAATTTATTTTTCATACCTTTTTTATATAATACTTTCTATTATCTCGTTTCTATTGCAATAGGCAAATTTCTTGTACATTTTTATTATTGTAAGTTATTCTTTATCGAGTTCTTTATTTTTGTAAGGAGTGAATTATTAATTTATGATATAAAGTAAGGAGCCCCCTACCTGCAGTGACAAGTTTTCCCAAAATGTTGGACTAAACCCTGTTAAAGTTTTATGACAATATTGTATTGTATTCAAGCCAGTACCTACTGAGTGGTTTGGTGAAATATTGTTGAAACTAATTTCATGCTTCTGTTACATTTAAGTATTATACTTGTCATGCTCACCTCGTTTTTGAACCTTTTTTTGTATGTTTGAATTCATAATGAGGGTCTGTGCTCTCAACCAAAAGGAAACAGAGTAGGTATCGCTGATTGGCAGTCTCTGCTAGTCAATGTAAATAAAACTGTTTTTCATATTAACAGAAGATGCTCTATCAAGAATGAAGGTAAATATTTTGAAAAGCACCTTCTCAAAAAAAGAAAAAGTTTTTTTTTCTAAATTCATGGTAACATTTTCGACAAATAATTTTGTTTAACACTTCTTATTTGGAGTCTAACATAATCATTTTGACATGAGAAACCGTCATATTAGGTGGAGGGGCTATCTACAATCTATAAAATGCTAATGATGATATGCCTGTGTCATCTCATCTCTACTGAATTCATAGGCTGCTCTAGAAATTTGTTCTGTAGCTAAAATTGAAAGTTACGAGGCTACTTGAAAATCCTTGCATCATAAATTAATATATTGTCCTACCACCTTGGTGTTAAAGATGGAACCCCGTGACTCCCAAAACGGTTGCACCATGTTATGAGAGTCCGCGTGGTGCTATTCAAATCACCCTCGGTTGTTCATGTTGCCAAGTGGCTGTGACAGAATTTGAAGACGAAAAACGTGTTATTTTTGAGGCTGAATACTTCCAGTTGGTGCAGGTGAGTGGAACATTTCTAGATGCGTCAAACTAATTTTGGTATGCCTACTTATTGGGCTAAAAGGGTATATGGCAATAGATCAACGATGGTTACCATAGTTTACAAATGGCGGCCTCATTTTTTTTTTTTTTCATTCTAGGGGCTACTTGAAAAATGCTACGAAACTATGTACAAATGGTTGGGACTCGGGTTGGGAGTAGGAACTACAGAGATTATTCAGATGAAAACTTGCGCGAGGCCATTAGAAGGTATAGGAGGGGCGCAAGCTTGAAGGAGAACAGTGATTTGTACAAAATTCAGTGGATTTAGCTTTATGTATTTTTGTATATTAAACGTCTTCCTGATGTAAAAATGGGATTTTTTTTTGCGGAAAAAGGTTTTTATAATACCTATTTTTTATTCTCTTTTTCATGAAGCCCCAATTAGGCTCCTATTTGCATTTTTAACGCCAGAAAACGGAGATTTTCAAGTAACCCCATCGCGAAGCGACTTGAAAAACACCCTTTAAATTTTTTTCCCTGAAAAGGGGTGAGGGATGGAGAAATCATTTTTATGGCAATCGATAGCCAAGGGTCCAAACCAAAGTAATCTGGAAAAAAAATTATTGGGCTGCAAACGATCTACTCTGATGTGTGCGATTAATTGAATTAGTAATAATAGATTTTTATTTAGCAAAAAAAAAATCCAAAAGTGCTATCAAGTAGCCCCAGTTTACGGTATTCTAAAACATGTCTGTGTACCAGTCCTGATAAGTGGCGAATGACTAGCAAGACTAAAGTTACTAGACCTCAATCATGCACAATATTATTATTCTGGTGAAAGAGCGTTTTCAAAAAGTTTTCTACCTAACTCTACTTTCTAATTATTATTAGTATTATTATTATTATTATTATTATATTACTGGAATTGGTTAATTCACAATAAATTGCACTTAGGTATAGACTACAATAAAAATTTCTTCACTATCACATGGTATTGTTATTATTCTGCACCTAGACATAAATATCTGTATGTGCAGTTAGCATAGAGAAAAACATACTATTTATTTATTTATTTATTTACGGGCAAGACCCATTAAAAGTTTCAAAAGAAAAAAAAAACAACAAGAAACATTAAGTACCTTACAACTAAATAAACATAGGCCAGTAATACTTGGCGTAGTAACAGGATAAAAATACATATAAATTATTAACAGTAAAACATTAAATCAGTTATAGGTATAAGAAAATAGAGGACAAACATAAATAATGACTGATCAAGATGACTAGAAATTCTTAGCTATCGAACTTGGCATCACAAACAGACGGGGAGAATTGCATTAGAGAGTTAAGCTCTCTTTTAAAGCTATTTATGGGTCCAAAAAAATCCAGGCTACCATGGGTGTTACATAATCGAGAAGTTCTGGAGATGAATGTATTGAAACCATAGTTTGTACGGTGATTTCTTTCTGAGAAGGTTATGGCAGAGCGGGTGTCCCTTGCTGGGACGTGAAGCCCTATTCTGGACAGTAGGTATGCGGAATCACTAATGGAGTTCAGTACCTTGTAAAAAGTATATAAATCTCTTTGATTGCGTCTAGCTGCCAAGGGTTGTAGATTGAAGCGTCTGTATAGGTCGTCATAGTCATATACATAGTTCTCAAGCGAAGGAATACCTGCCTTGAAGGCTAAATAACGTACGAATTTGCGCTGCACTAGCTCTAGGGCTCTGATATGATTAGAATACATTGGTGACCAGACAGAGGAGCAGTACTCCATCAGGGGCCTCACCATTGAGCAATAAAGGTATCTGATAGAATCTATGCTTGTAAAATCTCTCGAACACCTCTTAATGAAGCCTACAAGTTTTAACGACCTTGTTGTGATGTCTGAAATATGGGTGATAAAATTGAGACTGCTGTCAAAAATGACACCAAGATCTCGTTGTTGTGAGACAGTTTCAAGCGGAATGTTGTTTATATGGTACGCGAATTGTGGAGGGCTACGACCCTTGGAGAAAACAATGGCTTTGCATTTGGAAGCATTGAGCTCCATGCCGCTCAAAGCGCACCACTCAGAGAGTCTGTCGAGGTCAGATTGTAGTCTGGCACAGTCTTCAATAGAAGAGACCCGGGTGAACACCTTTAAATCATCCGCAAAGCACAGGAACTCACTGTTAATAAAACAAGACTTGATATCGTTAATAAAAACGTTGAACAGCAGAGGTCCCAAGTGAGAACCCTGTGGAACGCCCGATGGGATGTCAATTTCGTGTGAGAAGAAGTTGTTAACTTTGATTATTTGAGTTCTCTCCCCAAGATAGTCGCTAATCCACTTCAACAAAGTACCGGAGATTCCAGCACTTTCAAGCTTAGCAAGCAGAACGGCATGGTTGACACGGTCAAAGGCCTTTGCAAAATCGGTATATATGGAGTGAACTGATTCGCCATCCTCAAGAATTCTTGAAACTTTGTCCTGGTAGGACAGGAGATTGGTTTCAGT